TTTTATATTAACAAATTTAACGATTTGTGCTGAAGTTGGAAATAAAATGGTCTATCGGCAATGAATGTTGACTTTAAAATAGACAAGCTATCAGTTTTGCCATGAAATGCTGCAAATAATATCAAAATGTCTATGTGTAGAAATATCTGCTTACTTTATTTTGAAGTTACGACTTAATATTTGTCGACTGATTTAAGGTTGTTGTTGCATATATTTTATTTTATATCAAATATAGTTAACAGTTTTACGTTGAATTAAATATTTGCAAATTCCGACATTAAAAACGTATAATAACCATTATTTTTAATTAAAGAAAATAAATATTTAAAAAGTATTACTATGATAAAATTACGATGTAAAATGAAAGACTTTATTGTGAAACTTTTACCAAAAAAATACTTACATCAAATTTTAATAAACAACACATTTTCAACTCACTTTTAATTTTTATTGTAACCTAACCTTACTTAAACGAACTTTAAAAAAAAAATTCTCAATCAGATAACCATTTCAACTTTTAACAAACGAATTAAGATTTACCTGTAAATGATGCATCATAAATAAAAATAATATGAGTAAATTTTATTATGCTCGCAATAATTTTGATCAAAATATAGGTAATTAATAATGTTTTCTGAACTTTTAAAATATTCATATATTTATAATTAAAATAATATATACAAAAAGCAACACCATACAAAATTCTAAAAGAACATGAAAATTATATTTATAAATATTGACTTTAATCATGTTTATGTTTGGAATTTTATTAATTTTCTTTTTTAATGTGGTTTGTGTTTACTTGTCAACAAGTATCATTAGATTTTTATGAAATTATAAATGCCAAAAATTTTGGTAGTACTCCAATATAAGAGCTTCAATTATGCATCATTTTTATGTCAAGAAAGCTTTTAGAGAACATGCATTATTTTACACCACCTTTAACATTAATTTATAGAAGAAATTATGATGAAACCTTGTAAAGATATATGAAAGCCGTTAAACCCACATATCTCGGGTTACAAAAATTACAACTTACAAGTGAAGAATTAAAATCTTTAAACGAGCTTTTTCCATTTAAAAAAAAATGTATTTTCATATTTTAATTAGGTGACACTACAACTCCGGTAAACAAATTTAAATCTTTTTTCCTCAGCTCGTAGTAGAATGGCTTATCTGCCACAAATGTTGGTTGCGGGTACACTGCGCTTTGTAGTTTGACGAAAAATGCTGTAAATAACGAACAAGTTTTCTATCATTTATATTACGGCCTGATGAAAGATATTTTTTGTTTATTTTTCTATTAGTCTATGTAAAATACTATCTTATGTGCAAGACAAAGGCCGCTGTTAATTGAACAAAAAACCCTAACATCATAGTCCATAGATTTAATGAAATTAGTTCGTCTTAAGAAATACTCCCTTTTGTGACATTGCTTAATTATTTACGGTTATGGTTAAAAGGTACTAACAATATTGATATATCAGTAAAGAATATATATAACATAAATTTTGTGATTATTCATTGAACTTAAATGTCAAAGTTATTGACGATTCCTGCAAACAGCATTAAACCATTGTTCATCAGACCAACGTAGAAAGGTTTGTCAATTTTTAATATTGGTTTGCCTCCAGTTATTAAAGATCTGATCTGAACTCTGAAATATAAGATGAAAAGTAAAATTGTTTTACATTGTTTACGTGCAGAAATTTCTATAACTTCGAGTAGGTGAATGTGGAATGACACATTGTATAAAATACGTAAAATAATTGAATGTAACACAAAAAAGTACGGACCAAGAGTCTGTAGACTTTAAGAAATAATAAAAAAAAGATACTTCGTATGGGAATTGCTTCCTTTCGATTTCGACACTTGTACAAAAAGATTTGTACAATATAATCAAATATTTTCTACTTTTATTAATATAAAGTTACTCGTTAAGTTCGATGGCTAAATAAATATACCTACGCAACGTAAGGACTCTTTCTTTGTCTGTCTTATATAATTATATTATAAACACGATTGAAGGAAAAACCGTTTGGAAAATATTTAATCAATAATAAAATAAGTTTAAAATAAAACGTATTATTTATTTAATTAGATGTCCATTACAATTAAATTCAATAACTACTTAATTATTAAAATAACATTGTAACATAATATGGAGGTATTAGATTTTCAGATTTTTGTGTTGGACAAGGGGCGTAAAACTAACACAGTATAAGCTAGCTGATAAACTTTCCCATGCTTAAAAAGACAAATTGTAAAAGCCATGGGACTGAGATAAAATATATGAAAGTCAATCACACTACAACAGTTTCCGAACATACTCCCATATTGCGGGGCCAACACATCGGCGTCGTCACTTTTGCTTCCGGACAACATCTTAGATCTAATTAATCCAAAACCAGGAACTATCAGCAAAGTAAACTATCCCTCTGGTTCACAACTATGCTTATATACATCGATCTTTCAATCTACAATGCTCTGTCAATTCTCAAAAGATTTTTGGCACAAATGTGCATAAAAGTATGTATAGTGTAGGTATGTATTTCACAAAATTATGTTTATGTACAGTTCGGATTCAGTCTTATTTTATATAAATTTAAATAAATTGTTATATTATAAAATTTATGGTATGTACTTCATTATGTGTACTTTATAACATGCTATTTCAATCAACATGGAGTATTAAAATAAATAGTTCTATTTACGCTTTGAAAACACCGCTGAATAGTGAAATATATTTTTTTTGTCTCAAAACATAGACGAAAGGTTTATCAGCTTTGAACTCTGGCCTTGGTCCAATATATCCTCCCCTGTCGCTAACATTGAATGCTGGAAATGATACAAAAAAACCTTTTTTACTTTATTCTGTATAAGTTAATATATCTGCAAAGGTGTTTATTCAGATATTACGAATCTAATCTGCATATTATGTCACTTCCTGATCATTAAACATAATATAATCAAAGGTAAAAGTAAAAAAAAAATGAAAGAAAATTATGGAATACTTCAGGCTTGTACCTATATGTAATATTCATGGAATACTTCCAGACATCTTTAAGTCCATGGCTTAAAATAAACTTGCATCGTGCAATTTTTTAAAATAATAACTTTTTAATATCGTTATCAAGCAAGATTTAATAGTAACAGTAATAATAAATATTTCTAACACCCAAAGTAAGCACTGTTTGGCTTGTGTTATGGGATACTAGAGTATATGTAAGTTTTATTTAGAAATACATACAAATATTCATGACTTAGGTGCAAATGCTCGTATTCATCACATAAACATTTGCCCCACCGGGATTTGAACTCGGGACCTATGAGTAGTCGACACCTTGAAAACTGGCATACATTACCACTCGAGTCACGGAGGTCGTTAGGTCGTCATAATGAGCTTATAATCTATAATTATATGAATCTTTTAATTATCTAACTGAATTAAGCTTATAATTTAAGGTTAATTGTAAGATTTCTTTTTTTCTTTCTTTATGTGTGGTAATCTCAAGAATCTGTCGCTTTTATTTAAAAATGTCGCATGAAATTCTAAGAAATAATTTCACTAATAAATTCATTGTTTAGTCCCAAAGTACAGAATGTAATACGAAAACTATATAAGACAATAACCATAAGCAATTATTACGCTGAAATAATATTTAAGTGCTCATACAAAAAATTTGGTGACCATGAGCTTTGCTTTTTATATTTCTTAATGTTGACACGACAAAGTAAGAGTCCGGCAGGTAATCCTATACCAATCAAGTAAGTTGATTCAAGTGAACTTTTTCTTCGTTTTGTAGTTTAGTTTTATATGTATGTCTTTACCAAAAACGTTACGATTTGAGTGAGCATATTTATAGTATTCAATAATAAAATAGTCAGCACTTCAGTCGGCGCTCAGGCATCGAGCGTAGTGCGAGACGGTGTACATTATTTATTTATTATTATTTTCATTCCGTACATGTTGATGAAATAATAAAGTCAAGTAATCATAACGAATCATTTTATTATTTGCCAACATGAAATATATTGGTACCTCATAGTCCATTTTGTTTAATCACGATGCGTATTTGCGATGGTGTATGTGGCTATGCACTCACACTGTAGGCCGAAGACGAAGTTTTCTCACAAAATTTCATCGCGAAGTATACTTTACTAATAAGATGACGCAATACAAAAAGAGTTCATCAAACTACTTAGGAAACCTACCTAGGTTCCTAAGTAGTTTGATTTATCATTAACAACTTTTTTGCAAATGATGAAGTTACTGAAATTTATAAATGGTAAAGTTGGTAGTGTTTTATGGTATCTTTATCCTATGCATTAGATAGCCAAACCTAGGTCAGCTATACTTATGGCAAAGAAACTCTTACATCACAGGTGATTAACAAGTAATGCCAAATGATGCCCTGCCATTATTTTGAAAGCACCCATCAACAATTACTAAAGTCTAGATATGAGTATGGCATGGTAACCATACCACATCCCTAACGTTGAATGGTGATTCATTAGAGGTAATATTCACTTGCTAATTATTATGATACGAGTAAATATGACTAATCGGTACATTAGTGGATATCTTTATTTTCAACTATGTTTCTACCGGTGAATAGAGAGCAATAAGAGATAAGTATTATTTATTTTAGGTTCACTTCGTAACATTAAAAGAAGATAATAAAAATATTTTTTTCCGCTGGTTTTGTAATAACGAGACAAGTTTATTGTTCGTTAAAATTCTGAAAATTTTAAGAACTAAAGTCTCGAGTCAATAGGAACTTTTTTGTTATTATTGAGAATCAGATCTTTATTTTCATAGGTATGAAACTTTCTCATTTCATTATCATCAAGCGAAACATTTATTTTCAGTCACCAATAAAAAGAAACATTATAGGTGTTCGCTTTAATGATATCAGATCAGTTATTCCACATGTTTATCTTTTCTGCATTTTAACTGAAAACCTAACTAAATAAAGTAGTCATATTTTTACACTTACCGCTTGCAGCCGCAGCCTCAGCTCCTTCTTCATTTACTTCAATGAACGCCTTTTGGATGGCATTACTGACGTACAAACCGCCATCTACATTCTTAAGAAGTTTTTCCAGTCTAGCAGTCGAAGGACTGAATAAGTGTGTGATGCCCATCTAAAAGAAACCCATTTTTAGATTGCATTGCTATATATGAAGTTATCATTGTTATCAATATTTATAACTTTGATTATAAGTTTTAAGTCTGACAATGTATTACTGACCTTTTCAAGAACATCTTTCAGATCAATAGTGGTTTCAATCTTGAACTTGGGAAGATACACATCAACTTCAGTGGTGTGCATATTTTCTGTAGCCTTCACCAGCGCAGAGGGGTCTTTCAATTTCTCCTCGAGAGATGTGATTCCATCGATTTGGTTCGGGAGTACAATAAGGAAAGAGGCTTCATCACCTTCGTAGAAAATTTCCAATAGCTGAAAACAATAAATTCTGAAGTAACGCGTGTGTAAGCGCCCGTGATCATGACTCCGTAATCACGGCCCTTGCAATAGTGCCAAAATATCGGAAACCCCCTAAAACCAAGGTACATGGTAACAATCCCGTAAATAACATAAATTACTATAATGATGTTAAATACCTACAAAATTATTGAAAGTTTTAAATAAATTATAAAGTGTATGCTTTAAATCTTAAACTAGGATCAAATTGAAGTATTGTATTGTAAAAACTACAAAATCTTTATAATATCTTTATGATATGGTGGTATACCCGTTTAAGTTCTTAGAAATATGTGAATATTATTTCGAATGTAGATTATGACCGTATAAAATGGGGACCTGTATCCCAGATATTCATTTCATTCATTCACTAGCACCTATGCCTGTAACGCAGTAGAAACGATAAAAGACTGACGATGATAGCATTCAGAAATACCTTAGCATCTAACTCCTCGCTGTAACCGAATTTGAAGTCGCCGTTCTTGAACATGGTGGGAACTTGAATAGTCTTGTCCTTTGTTACGTGAAAATCACGGTCAGCAGTCATTTTGGAGTCAAATTTATCCTTCCAGCTACCCTGTTTTTAAATGAGAAATATTTAAACATTTACAGATGATTTTAATTTATTGAGATTTTATTATGGTTTAAGTTTTACCTTAAAGTAAATTGCGTTAACTAGAACACTTCGGGTGTCGGGTCCCAAAGAGTCAGGGCTCACTAAATCTTTGATTCGCTTGTTAGTGTTATCTTCAACCTGTAAAATTAAAACAATTGAAGTCGAATGTGTCATATTTTGCTAACACTTCTTGATACAACTTTGAGGACCATTATTTTTTTTTCAGAAATTATCGAATTTTACTTAGTTGTTAATATTTTATCCCACCTTTGTTTAGACCACCCCATTAGTACCCAGAATCCCAGTAGTTATTTAATATATAGTATTTTTATATAAAGAAATTACCCATGTGTTGATGGTCTTAGCAGCCTCCTCGCTTTTGGTGAAATCGAGTTGTCTTACTTCTGAACCGAACACGTCTCTGGAAACAGCCCCAAATTCTTCATTCAGCTCATAACCAGTAGGAATGTAGATACTGTTCGCAATCTTTAATTCTACTCCTTTAACAGAACGCAGATCTTTGCTCACATACGAAAATACTTCTTTGGTCTGAAATAAAAATTCAATATTTTAATCTTATGAATTTCTCAGTTTTATTTATTTTAAAATGTACAAATTGGTTTACCGCTAAATGGCAAACGGTTATGGTTATTAATAAGTCACAATTACTCTCAAATGAAAACATAATTATGATATGAATGCGCTTGATGGGTTTAAAAAATGAACTACATTATCTAATTAATCTTTCGTAGTACGTTGCTCGTTAAAGAAGATGGTGCTCCACAAAAACTTAAAAATCATTCAACTTGCAAACGATTAGGAAAAGATCATATAAATTTTTAAATAAAGAAAGTTTAAATGTAAAGAAAAGTTTACTAGAAAAAAATCCACGCGGACCAGGCAGCGGACGGGATTCGAACCCGCATCCTTCGCAATCCGGGCGAATGCACTGACCATTATGCAATAAAATCATAAAGAAAGTTTACCAGAAAATTTATGCAAGTATGGATAGTCTCAGAGAAATACCTAATGTATGTTGTTTCTGAGATATAACGCTACTGCATAAGATGGCTTCAAGATCACCAATAGGTCTGGCTCTACAGCAAATAATAATAAATTAAGGCGTCCATTAGACAGTACGTCATGCTGTAAGTTTGAAGTTAAGTAGTTAAGGTTATATACTGGTATATGATGGATATCCTGTCGTCTAATAAGGTGACTGATGACTTATCACTATGATGACTTGTCGCCATTCTTATCAGTTGTGAGTAATGGAATTGACTTCCGGTTGCATGAGCGTCTTATGGACGCCTAGGGTAATAATGTAGGTTATACTCACAGCATTGTCGTTAGGCATTCCGATGATGTCAAGAATTTGATCGTGAGAGACTCCAGCTGAGGCTAGGCCCAGCTCTGCCAGGGGAGACATGGCAGAGAATCCAGACATGACCACGCTCTTGCCAGGGTTCAATTTTGCGACTTCCTGTAGACATGGCAATAGAAAAAATATTATTAAAAAATCGACGAACATTACGTTAATTAAATTCTAATTCATCTTAATCATTTACACATACGCAGTGCTTAATTTTTACAATGCTTTCAAAATATATTTTAATGCGTTTGTTTTTGGTGTCGTCGGAAGTCTTTCGCAAGCTACTAAGTAACTTTTGACGAACAAGTGACTAAGGTCTTTTGTTAGTTTGCAAGTTACACATGCTTTATAGTTAAAATATTATAAATACATAGATAGGGCAGGTTTAGAAAATGTTACAGGCTATGTATGGGCTTTCATGGACGAAAATATTGTAAATGGCAAGTATGGCGTCATTATGGTTTGGTAAAGGGAGTGCGTTTTATATTTAAGTGCATATAAAATTATCTCACTCATTATCTGACTCTTTACTATATCTTAGGTATTTTAGACGATTTGTTAGAGCATCGGCAGGCATCGGGTCCCCTTAAGGCTATAAAGGCCTTAGGCTTAAAGTTATTCCCGGTTAGTAAATATTATTCACCAGTCATCGCTATCTTTATACATGTATTCTTAGTTTCCATAGCACTTAGCTTTTTTTTCTTTGTCTATCAGATAAGAGTATCAAAAAATATTGGACACGACTGTCTTTTTTCTTTTTTCACATAATCTATACAATACAGAGATATATTGATTTAAAATGTCGCATGACGTCCCGTTTTGGTAAAATTTTCATTTGGAAGTAGGTAGCGCCACGATCCCCTACTCCCAAACTTTAACGCGCTTTATCTATGTAATTTTTGGTTAATTGACAAAAGCAAAATAAGTGTCCATTATTTTTTGATAATTGACTGACAGATTAAATAGAATTGGGTTTACTTTACTCAGTCATAATCTCCATTATTGTGAGTCAATTATTATTATTATTATTATTCTGCCAAACTCGCTGGTGGCGACGTGACCTAAACCTATGTACCAATTTATGCAACACTGCTTAAACAAAGCTAATCATACATAAAAGTGATTCATAGATATTATCCGCCACAACAAATGCAAGAATACATTATAATCAACTAATTATCTATTGGAGTACTAAAATCTTAAGCTTGAGAAACGCGGTTAAGGAAAACAATGTTACTTTTCCTGTTCACTGTGATGTGTACACAGAGTCATGTTGTTTTATTTACTTTGATTTTAAGTCTGTTTGAAGGTCGACTTGCTCATGTTATTTTAAGACTGTGTGGAGTATATTTTTTTCGGTTGCTATGTGAAAACCTTTATTTATAAATACGTATAGGCGATAGCATTCGACTTAAAAGCCAACATGTTGATATGCTAAGGTTGAACCCGTGGTTGAAACACACCAGAGCTATGACAGTTTTTAATTATCTCTTTTTCTGCTTGCGTAGTACGACTATTATTCAACGAACGGAATAAACTCGCCATAATCTTAAGATGGCAGATACCCTAGTAGGGTGCAAGTTTTTGAGATCTTCGACACTGTCTGTTTATTATTTATTTAGAGGAAAAAACAGAATTAAAAGATATGTAAGTTTTGTCATTAATTTGACACATTAGCCAATACAAACATAGCAAACAATAATTGGTTAGTCACTAATACTGGACTAAGGGTGACAGGTGCTAACGAAAGGACAATGGGCAAAACACACCCAGCTCCGCCAACAATGTAATCAGTATGAATCGATAGATCTATGAAAAACTAGCCTTTTTTATTACGACTCCGAAAAAAAATATCCTGGGAGTCTAAAGATATGACACCGCAAAAAATATCCTGGTAGCCAATAGATATGACACATGGGCATATTTAAGTAGCTAAATAAATTCATTTTATAGTACCTTTATTTTATATTATTAGTAACCATAATAATATGCCATATCGTACTATACAACCAGATATACGACAAAGCCTCTTACTGAGCCACCACAAAACGGTTTACAGGGGTTGAAGGACTTGCAGTTACAAATAGTCGACTCGTCTTACTTCGTTGTGATTGCGCGCTCCCTGTCACTGGATTAATTTTTATCTTACACGCTTTGGATATTGGAACACGATTATAGGTTTTGCCAATTAGTATGGATGAACTGGAATAATGTTTTCTCCGAAGCGTGGACAAGTTTGGGCGATTTGTGGACGCTTTGTTTTACAAAGAAGAGAAGAAGTTTACTATTTACTATAACGAACAGAATGTGTGAAAAAACCCCAACCCATGCAGGGATTGTTGGATTTACTCTAGCGCGGCAGAATAACATATGGGGGCACCCTTGAACCTTTTGAAATATTCCCATAATACCCGAGCCACCTATGTAGTGTCGAACTAAGTAACTTAATTAATTCCCTTGTTTCATTAATGTTCGTTCGTTAAAGTACTTCCCTGTATTCCCTGGATAGAATTTGATGCACTTTGGCACAGATGATCATGACTATAATACCTTTCAAATAAATGTATATAAGCCATGGCGGACGTGGGTGCAGCGTCCATATATTTTTGCCCAATGTCCATTCTAAATATATTATGAATCTTATTTCGAGCAAAGTAGAGCTAAATATCGAGGTGCTTTTTCAGTATGGCTTAATTTTACCTATTGCTGACAACGATATTAAATATTATCATTGGTTGCTGATTGCACATTCGTTCATACTCACATTGAACATCGAAGCGGAGAATTTGTTGTTGCCTTTGGCGAGGAGATTTTGTACGCTCGTCTCGTCCGCCATCGCCATGGCGACTGCGGCTAGTACTGTAAAGAAAGAAAATAATCCAAGTTAAGAATGGGAAAAAGAAAAACTCGCCTTAAAAATATTTGAGTTACAGATTAAGTAATTCATTAACTTAGTCGCGTTGATAAGAGACTCGTAATAACGGTTACTATTCTACATTCGCTCAATATTAAAATATAAGTTCTATAGATTTTATTATATTATATTTTAAGCATTAATTAGTTCGAAATATAAATCTAAAGAAATGGTCCTGCCTGACACCTTGACCGAGTGGTATTTTTTCTAGTAAAATAAATCTTGAAGATTTTTATTTGTTTGTTACTCAATAGCGGAAAAACACTTTTTTTGTTGTCAGCCTTGTAGTATACGTATACGGGTGTAAGCCTTCTGATACAATTAAATATCTTAATGATGGTTCTAACCGAATCATAAAATTGTTAAGAGACTTAAAAAAAGTTAAGTTTAAATACAGAATTTATAAATGATGCTGTTTGACCATTACTTATCCACCAAAAGGAATGTAACAATGAAAATAATTAGGTATGACATTAATCGCAACACAAAATAGAATTAAAACTATGCTTTTCATGGTAGCTTACTACGATATGGCGTTATATCCGTGTATAAAATGAAAGCAATTAAATTTTTTGTGATAAGAAAATCTATTAGATATGGCATATTTAATTATTGTGAGAAAAATACCGAAGCAGGTCAGCGATACCCCCTACCTTTCAAATCGATAACCTTATGTTCATTTGGTGGTTCCTAATCATGTTTTTCTTCTCCTCTTAAATAGCTTACTGCTTATGTAAGAAGAGGTTATCATAATATACACGCGGTTGTCAAGTAACGTAATGTAGGTTACGTATGTTTCAACAGGATTTTATGATTTTTATGTCAAGTATGATATTGGGATACATTGAATATTTGGATAATATTTAGATTTATCGGATCGATTTTATGTTCAACGCTTTGTGACAAAATTGGTGTTTAACAAAGTTACAGAACTACAGAACAGCCAATCGAAATCGAATGAAGTTTTACGTTCGGTAATTAAAACTGTAATTAAATGAAACGATTTACTTCGGTAAATCGATCGGTTATATCTTACGCTCTTTGGTTATGATTTGATAAAAGTACTATTTTCTTATTTCTGTACGGATCGGAATACACACCGATTTTTCCAATAAATTAATCAGTATGAGGTTGGGGCTCCAAAAAAAACGATAAGTTATTAATACTACTACTTAAGTTTTCCCATTAGATATTTGTAAAAAGTTCCTTAAAGTTGATAAACTATTGGATACAATTCGAATTATTAAGACGAGGATATCGGCTGTATTACGTCGATTCAATTTAGATATGGTTAAAGTTGATTTCGTTTGCAGTTGCAGAGGTAATTTTGATGACAAGACGCGACTTTGACAAGTATCAAATTTAAAAAGTCTTCGAATTTAACTTTTGTTAACTTTTGTTTCTAATCATTTGGATGTAAATTTTATTCATTAATACATCACACCTGATTGTACTCAGACAGATTTTTTTATAAAAGTTTTTACGAAGGTAAACAAGGAAGGATAACACTGGAGCTAAAAACAGATTCGTCATCGGACGATGTTTTTAACATTAATATTAAACTGCATTGAATTGTGAATAGATCAATAATGTACCTATTTACAAAGATCTAATTTATGATATATTGTCGATGAAGTGACAATCAATTTCGACCAAACCAAAGATACACCAACACATCCACTACGGGACATTGGCGAAATTTCTGTGTAAAACGGAAACAGAATAAAATAAATAAATGAAGGAATTATTTACGAAAGGTGACTATGTATATAAACAAGGAAGGATTACACTGGAGTTAAAATCAGTTTCATCATCGGACGATGTTTTTTAACATTAATATTAAATTGCATTGAATTGTGAATATACCAATAATGTACCTATTTACAAAGATCTAATTGATGATATATCGTCGATGATATTATAACTTTGAGGCGAGCTAAACTGTACTTCCAGGGCCCAAGTGGTGATATTTCACACTAGGTTACGTTAGGTTAATGTTGTGAAAATAATACCAATTCTAAAGTTATTGGGATAGCGTGCATTCGGGCTACAAATATTAGGAATAATATAACAGTCAATTATTATGCTGGAGTAAAAAAGAAAAAAAAACGACTCCTTTCCGTGTATCATTCTGATATTTTTTTTTGTTACTTGTCAAATATACCTACCTAGAAACGTTTTAGGTTTTTATCTACCAACACTATTTATTTTTAGAAACGTTTACATTTCCTAAAACGGTCATTTTGATTTGAGAGCAATAGACTAAAATAAAAAATATCGATCAAGCATAGTTAAATAAAACATAATCAATTAAGTAGACAGAATATCCTGGCAGGTAGAGGGTAATCGAAAAAAAACCCACGAAACTAGTTTTATCTTTATACTGTCGAGGCGAGAGATTTCGACATTTACATACCTATTACGAAAAAAAACAAAAAGTTTTGTTTTCTACAGGTTTTATTTATATTTAAGCAATACCTTCTTACATAAAAACTTTTTCATTTAAAGGCCGTGGGTAAGCGAAAAAAGTGGAACTCATTTTATAATTTACCTTTTTGTTAATTTCGAATGATTTCTTAAGTATTTACATATTATACCGTAAACAATAGGTACTGCCACCTATAAATTTACCGCAAACTGGCAAAATACCTATATATATTGTGAATTTTATAAAAAGAACTTATAAGCTCAATGTCGGTTGGAGATAATTTGACAGTAGAGTAACTTAACCTGTAATTGTCAAAAAACCAGTCAAGTTAAGATATAAAATACAGATATCGGCAATTTATTATTCCTATATCTGTATTTAAAATTTACAAATAAAAATAACTAGAATCAAACATATAATCCATTTTGAAATATAATGGAACGTTGGCGCCTGCTAAAACAGAGTTCTACAAAGCTCTTGTTTCTGTTTTTATTTTATTTTATTGTATGTGTACTAAATAAGATAACCAATAGATTGCAAAAAAATAACATCTAGTCAGTAAAGGCTAACCAAAAAACCGCTAAGTATACCAGTTTTATCGATAATACTAATACATACTAATGTGAAATTATTTGGTATTCTTAATTTATTCCGATATATATTTATGATATGATTTTTTTGGAACATTATCGTAAAATCTATTTTAAGCACGTTACTTGCTAAGAAGGTTACAACCAAAATAGACCTAAGGTTTATTTTATATGTTATGGTTAAGTTTTATTTTAAACTTAATATGATCAATACAACATTATTATGTAATTTAGATTGTTCATTTTCATTATAATTTTCAATGACTTTGCTTGAAAACAATTTCGAGACAAACAAATTGATTTTATCGACTGTCGCACAAGTCGACGGCAACGGGGAATTACCTTTACATAGGTACCAGGTTATTTTGTCTTTTGCAATGCTTTTTAATTTCCACCTTGTAATGTGTAAATATATTCATAATCTATTGATTGTTTATTAGTAGCTTAATGTTTCAATGTGACCATAAGATAAATAATGGCGGTAAACGGAAAATTTTAGTCGATTTTGAATCATTAACATTTTTCTTTTAAATATACAGCCTGATCACAGTCATGAGGCATATAGAGCACTTTCAATTTATATTTTATAATACTTTTATTTAAAGAAGGGGAAAGAAACTTGCAAGAATTATGTTAAAACAAAATTGAAAATACCCGCTTTCAAATTATGTGCAATAAAAAAGATACGTATTAATGCTCTAATGCAATAAATTACTAGGGTGCAGTCCTTCCTTTTGTACAGAATCGCGCACATGTACGGACAAATTATAGTTAGAAACTTTTTGGTCACCCATCCGAATAAAGTTGCATATTTTCACAATCGCTAATCAAATCGCCGTTATTTGCACCAAATTAAGCTACACGCACCTGTTGCTTGCTTGTCAGTAAATTTGATATGCGCCAGACCCCGAAAAGTGCTTGGTCATCAAATCCGAATTATGTTTTTTTTGCTTACTAGCAAAACCGGCATTTAATTCTGTATCAACTTATAACACTGCCTTATTAATTTTCAAAGCTAAATCTCTTTTTCTAATACCCGCAACGTGAAATTTATCCAAAAATATAATGCCTACTAAATCTTTTTGAATATTTTATATAGATAGAAATTAAAATAGGTTTTTTGTTTATATTACTCAAGATTTACATCAACGAAGGTAGATCTAAGATGTTTTTTATGATTTATGCCAATCCTCGCTATTAAATATGCAAATAATGGAGTGAAAAATTGTATAAATTACAGGACGAAATCAAAAATACCCAATCAATAACAAAGAAACCGGTAACAGAGAATATAAGCTATCTATAAAAAGTTCCAACGGTCAATTCAATTTCAAAACATATTTGTTTCTACCTGCCACTATCATAAATAATAACGAGTTAAATTACACAATATAATTTAAACCGATTACCAAATTTTCGATATGACCTAAGTTCGTAGTGGCAAACAAAAATACAGGTCAAGCTTGTTATTTACAATCGATAATAAAAACGCCGGCTCGATGACATAATGCTAATGGACTCACTGTAAATAAACTGCTTCATATTGAGATCTTGCGTTGCGTTCTCGTCGGCTGTCCGCACCACGACTGGCCAGTTTCGACGGAGGATGTTTTTAAATAAAAACCACAGCTATTTTGCCTCATGTTACCATAGTGTAAATAGGTTGGTATGTTTCGTAAAATTAATCGATTGTTTTTTTTTATTGTGTAAATGTTGATAATCTCCCAGTTAAGATTGATCTCTATGTGTAGACAATCTATTAATCAAAATAAATAATTATGGATTTACGTGTACTGAAATTCTGTTATGGATTTTCCTCACTTTATATTTCAAAATTTATAGAATTGTTATTATAAACAATTACGACAGTCTTTAGTTTTTATTAATTAGAAGTTTAATTTTGTATATAATTCAAGAATAAGGACACATATTCGTCTTTTTAATGCCATTATGATTGGGTCACTTGATCCTGGGGAAATCAAGGGAGCTCTTCAAAAATTATAAGCACGTCTTTAGTAATTTTGTTATATATAGTAAGTCGATCATTTATCTCTAGATGTCTAGATGGCCACCGGAACCAATCAATAATAGCTAAATCACAGGATGCGATACTATTGCTTTAATTAGGTTGCTAAGCAAACTTATTCTCGCTTTGTCACCATCCATATTATGGTGAAATGGAGCTACTAATGAAGTACTATTATCTCAGGTATACTAAGGATTATGTTTGTTAGCATGGCAATAAATTTGAATATTATTAATTTTACTTTTAATATATTTTAGATATAACTTAAGCATAAGATTTATTTGATTTTGCAGTTTTATAAAAAAATACTGAGACGCATAATTTATTTTTTAATTTTTGAAGTGAAACTTCTTTAGGCACTCTTGACTTGGGGGGTAAACTGGCGAATGTGTGACGATTTTTGCGTTACGCGGGCACTCATCGGTAAACAATGAACAATACCCGTCACAAAACACATGAATCTAGTGCTTGGTGGGTGATAACGGATCCAGCGCGGATTGGTGGGTGATAACGGACCCAGTGCGGATTGGTGAATGATAACGGACCCACCGCGGATTGGTGGGTGATAACGGACCCAGCGCGGATTGGTGGGTGATAACGGATCCAGCGTGAATTGATGGGTGATAACGGACCCAGTACGGATTGGTGGGTGATAACGGATCTAGCGCGGATTGGTGGGTGATAACGGACCCAGCACGGATTGGTGGGTGATAACGGACCCAGTGCGGATTGGTGGGTAATAAAGGACCTAGCGCGGATTAGTGTTTTTTTTTCTATCAACAAATCATCATTGAAGCTAAAGAAGTTCCACTTTAGTCGTGTGGTCATAAGCACACTCGCTTTTTTTTGTTGAAAGACTTTAGAGTGAACGAAATATTCAGAGTAAATTTAGAGTTGCCCGAGAAAATTTACTAACGAATTAAAACAACGATTTAGGTTTATTTCCACAAACAAAAGATCATTATTTATTTTTTCGAAAATCTTCTCCACGATATTTCAATAATTATGCAATTATTAAACCTAAACAATTTTAATTTTAGGATCTACGTACTTTAATCGGATACAAAATCCTTATAGACACGTTAATTACAAAGGAGATTGAAACGAATTTATACAAACTTGGGGCCTAAAAGTAACAATATAAAAATGGTGTCATGAAACCACCATTGCAATTTCTATAACTTTTGCCAATCTAAGAGCAGAGTTATCAGAGTCTTAGTTGATGAGGTTACATAACCTTCACCTGTATCTGACAGATGAGATCAGATGAGACAGAGAGTCCTATTATTTTCATTAGTTGTAAAACACAGTTTACGTAATGAACCAGCGACCCTTGATGACATTAGTCGATAAAAGGGAAAACAACAAATAAAAAAAAACATAAAAATAAAATAAAAACAGACGTAAAATCCAAACAATTCCAGGGCAGAAACATAAAACATTTTTACAGATTTATTAATAGATTTATTTATAGATAGACAGATTAAGAGTTATTGCAAAGGTTATTCAAATCTGTAAAAAAAACGGTTGTCTGTAAAGTCGGTTTACTGACGATAGTTGAACGTGACAACGTTTTTTTACAATCATAGTTCTATTCAATATTAATTAAATGTCACGAAATATTTCTGTTAACTAATTGTTATAGTTTTGTCAATTATAGCATAACTTACAATCGCTGCACCAGCGGACCGATGCTATTTATTTTAATGATGAAAGCACGAATATTCGACAATATATCATTGAACATATATTTAATATCGAAAGAATCATAACCTTTATCACCGCAATTATCGTTGCTATAAACAATTGACACCACATTCACTTTTCATGCATTTCATACTTGACGAAAACATGTAAATGTATTATTGTATAGCAGCTGTCCACGCGGACGCATCGCTCACTCAAGGAGAGAGACAGATGTCGAACGCTGCCGAACGCGGAGGCCGATTGTGCCTCTTTGTCGCTCGTTGCGCGCTTTCGCTTGCTTTTCAACCCTTAAATGGAACGCCTCAGAGCGAGGTAACGCCGCATGAGTCATGTTTTTTCGTACGTGCAGTCGGCTCCAACGAATTATAAGACGTTGTCATGTCAAAAATGCATCCGTCAGCGGAATATGACAAGCACAATGCGCAACGTGAAATGTAGCCAAATCGTTATCGAAAGCACTGTTTCACCCACTTATTTACTTTATGCTAGTAAAAACTCAAGTTCAAGGGTAATTTCTTTTTTCAGTTGTGCGAATTAATTCACATTAATCGATACTTTCTATCGATAATCTGTTTTTCTAACATCGTTTACATATTCTCCCAATCACTATATCGTTATGATTGTTTTTGTGAATGAATATATATTATATGCTTAATTTTTAGACCAAATCTCATTTCATCACATTAGGGTTACATCGGGCCCACATTTTTGTATCTCCTTTGGTCCGTTTATAGGATTTTGTAAACTATGTTAATCAATATTTTTGAATGAGGGTATTGTCAGTTTACTGTTGATAACTGTTCTCACATTTTTTTTATACAATTTATAAGTTTTTCAAGTAACTAAAAATTCATGGTGTACCTGTAATATTGAAATTTGAGCTATAATTATTTATTTGCTTAAAAATATTAACTTCCATGATGCTGACTATGCTGTACAATGAGTTTAAGTAGTCGTCCCCTACCTTCCACTTAACGCAGAATAATTTGGAAAAAACGATTTTATTTAGTGTATACTTATTGTGATTTTAACAATTATAAACTAAAGAGATATTTTTAAACCAACTTACAGTTTAGTCAAAATAAATACCTATTTAAAAAGTCTTTAAAATTCAAACCACAAAGTAGATATAAAGATAAATTGGTAGCGTAAAAAAAACATTTTAGAAAAATAGCCTATTGGTTAAGTTTTTTTATTTAGCATCAATTGTACCACTGGCTGTGTGTCAGTAATGAAATCTTAAAAGTCAAATTTCACCTACTTTGCGGTTTCCGATTAAGCTGAATATATAGCTGTTATTATAAACATGGAGCTGATTTGATGATGGAGCCAGGAGGTGGTTCTCATGGCCACCTCCTGTGGCTCCACTCTGTAATTAAACAACGCAACCCCATCGAGTTTAGGATCGTTTGATTCGTTTCGAAAGGTGTTCAAGAGTCTGTTAAATGTGTTTATAAAATAGCTTGAAAAGATGACCGGGTCTAAACTATGAACATAACATCTTGAATACTAAAAAGTCTATAGATGCTAGTGCCAAGGGACAGCAAACGAAAAAAACTTTTTCAACACATTTTCTCAAACAATGCATTTACGGAGGTTATATACATCTTTGGAAAGTTCAAAATTACAGGCCAAACAGTGGAGCATGCGGTAACAATTTTACCGTTGTATGGCACCGTGCGTATCTTTTACGGATTTTTTAATTTTGTTCCAACCTGCATGGAATCGCTTTTGATCTATAAGTTTGTCTCACTTTAATACTAATGAAAAGAAAAAAGGTAAATTTAAAAAATCAAAAAACCCGACTTGTGATATACTTCAAATAAAAACTGAAAAGAAAAAAACAAGTCCAGTCTATAATTCTGTTAATAAGGAACAAAGCTACTCGGGACCCATTATTGAAAAATGTTATGCATTCTTGAATATCTAACCGAAATATTTGCCGATATGACTTAGTGTAAAAGGCAAAGTTTATCGTCTTTAAATATCAAAAGCGATAAAAGTATTTGTTTTGATAAAAAATAATTTGTTAATACAAAATGTGCATTTTGGAAATAGATATCAAATAATATTTTAGTTTAAATTCACTATTTAGCGGTAATGGCTTACACATTAAAAATAGATATTTGGTGTCACGGAACTTTTTTGTAGAACTATTTAAGAGATACATTTTCACTCTACATTAAATTCATGTAACTTTTATTGTTTTTGCAGTGCAGGCCAAAATGGCTCGCAGATGGGAGATTTTTTTTCCGTCTTATGTGACACTTATTGTTATATTTTGGCCAATTCACTCAATAACTACATTAATTATTATATATATGTTATTATCATATATGAGCTATATTACTATTAAGTTCATTAAAATCCATTCAGTATTTTTTAGGTGAAAGAGTAACAAAGATCCATACCAACGTATTATTGAAATTAAAAGCGCAAGTGGTTAATATGCAACTTTAAAGCGTTGTAGATCCTAAACAATCATATAAAATGAAAAATGGCGTAAGGAACCTTAATATGATTTTCGACTATCTAGACAATGATACCCCACTCGACATATTTTGTCAACTTATTTTTTTTACTTCGTCACAATATGGCGCTTAATTTTCACCATATTGAATTTTGATTAATATCATATCTTTTGTAGCACTCTTAAGACGAATCCATTGATGTATGAATCATCAAAATCGGTCCAGGCGTTTGGTATCTAGTGTGCCACAAAGGAACAAACATACATATATAGACTGTTAAACATAAACACTATACCCTATCTGCGCGTCGCGCTTCGCGCTATTGCATTGCGCAGTCGGGTAAAAAGAGACCACCCGCACGTGGCGCCACTTGGAAATGCGCGCCGTTTTCTTTTTAGAAAATGCTTAATTATTTAAATAATACTATTTTCTCGCA